ACAAGTTTAAGGAAATCTCCCATGTAGAAATCATGTCACATTTATCTACCAACTGTTTAAATAAATCACTCTGTAGTTTGTCCACCTGAATGAATTAGTCCGTTGTAACTTCATTACGAAAATAAAAACAACAAAATTACTGCAAATATTAGTAAAAATATTATGTTTTGGACATTATCTATCGTCTTGTCTTTATCTAAAAACCGTCCTGTTTATTTTTCAAAACACGACGTTTCGGAGATAGGGACTAGCTCTATCGATTGAGCCAAACTGAGTAGGTCTTACATGAAGACGGAGACAGAATTCAGTCTCCGAAACATTGTGTTTTGAAAAATAAACACGGCGGTTTTTAGATAAGGACAGGGCGATGGATAATGTCCAAAAACATAATATTTTTACCAATGTACGGTCGTCACAAACTTGCTATTAAACTTATCCAGAATCGTCATTAGGATTATCAATTTCGGGCTAGTGTTTGTAATTAGTACAGACTCATATTCTTGTTGTAGGTTTGTGAAGGCGACAAGGTGGTCATCGATGTTCTGAACGCTATGGAGGGACTGGAGGTCACCATCCATTGGCACGGTATCTGGCAGAGAGGAACCCAGTACTCAGACGGCGTTCCCTTCGTCACGCAGTGCCCTATCCAACAAGGGAACACATTCAGATACCAGTGGGTAGCCGGCAATGCCGGTACACACTTCTATCACGCCCACACCGGTACGTTCCAATAAAGATATTCCAAATTAAATAATTTAGTTTTGGTAGGAGACAAATTTTATAAAACTGCATAATGAGGAGCTTCATAACTTGTGCTCTGCTCCAAGTATAATTAGAATGATCAAGTCAAGGATGTAACACGAATGTGGGAGAAGAGGATTGCATATAGGATATTGGTGGGGAAGCCAGAAGGAGAGAGATCACTAGGAAGACCAAGACGTAGGTGGGTGAACAATATTAAAATGGATTTTAGAGTGATAGGATGGGATGGTATGGCTTGAATAGATTTGGTTCAGGATAGGGACTAGTGGACGGCTCTTGTGAACACGGTGATGAACCTTCGGTTTCCATAAAATGCTGGGAAGCTCTTGTGTAACTGAATAATTGGAGGCTTCTCAAAGAAGGGCTCAGCTCCATGAGTGAGTTACAAGTTTTATAATTCTCTGAAATATTTTAAAAAATTAATATTTTACTGTCATGTAATGTTTAGCCCCAGGAGGGAGTTAATAGGAGGGATGAGGAACTCAGTAAACTGTATGCTTAACGATATATTCTCGTGGTGACGAAATAGAAGAGATGGGGATGAGCAGGGTATGAAACATGCATATGGGGGTTGCAAACTATATACAAAATTTTGGTTGAAACCTGAAGGGATGACATCATTTGGAAGAAAATAACATGAGACGACCCTTAAAGGAATGTGTTGAGACGGTGTAACTGGATTCATGTGGTTTGCGTCATGAAACAGTGGCGGACCCTTCCAAAGGCAGTGATAAAAATTCAGGTTCCATAAAAGTCGTGGAATTTCTCGGCTAGCTGACAGACTATCAACTTTTGATCCTACAGATATTACTAATTTTGTTTGCTCCTAAGGCTATATAACGAGGATATTATGCAGCTAGAATTAGAATTGAGTCGAGAGTTGAGCTCCATGAAGATAAGTGAGAAGAGAAGGCAGTTGCAGCAGAGAATTGGAATTTAGAGCGCCTCCAGTGTTGGCAGTTGGCAGAATAATAGAGAAGAAATGGCAAGACAGGAATTAGGCTGTGCAGAGAAGACTTCATGTGTGATTTGAAGTGACAGTGAGACTGTTATGAATCCTTTGTCAAGGCTGTAACAGTGTGGAAATAGCGATAGAGCTGTAATTGCCAATTGCTGTGTATAAGGTGTCAATAAATGCAAGCATTCAATTCATGCTCTGCCTAATGAGTCACACACGTCCCTACACGTGACAATACACGTATGTATGATACCCAACAAACTTATGATGTGGCAACAGTATATCAATGTATCATGTTCTCACAGGTCTGCAGAAGCTCGACGGACTGTACGGTAGCATTGTGGTGCGGCAAGCTCCATCCCAGGACCCCAACAGCCATCTGTACGACTTCGACCTGACAACCCACGTGATTCTAATCAGCGACTGGATGCATGAGGATGCTCTGGAGAGGTACCCAGGCAGACTGGCCGTGAACCCAGGCCAGGACCCTGACGCCGCGCTCATCAATGGCAAGGGGCAGTTCATGGTAATTCCATACCATCACACTTAGTGCTACACAAAACTTCTGTAAACCCAGAACTGTTCTGGCGTCACAGACGTTTTTGAAGGGTCTTGCTATGTCTCTGTATACCTGAGCCCAGTTCTGTTATAAATTTGATAAAAACGAAACGCGTTGAACAATATTTATACTTCCTGAAATATTGGCCTTCCAAATTCCGACTAAATATGCAAATTTCCCATGTATCTTCTGAAGAGTCAGCATCGACTTCGCCTCTCAAATGTCGCGGTGCAGTGATAATCACTCCTGCTGTATAATCGGGAGGTCCTTGGTGGTAGACTTGACTGGTCAAGGTTTTCGTAGCTTACTTATTGTCTGCAGACAAATAATGAATATTACTTCAAAACAAGCCACGACCAGTTTATTTTCAAGGCAGCATTCATACTTCTCTTAAAATTGAAGCAGTGCAGTCGATAAATCGACAATAAATAAATCATTAGACAAAACACCTTTTGCATACGCATAGATGCCCAATAAATCTGAAATAATAGTACATATTTATGAAAATTTGAGAAGGCTGAAAAAATAGTAGGTTTCGTGCAAGATAGAGGGTAAACGTAGGCATAAATTCCAGCAGGTGTTTTTTGAGGGGAGGGGGAATTTTGTCCTTTGAACAGAAGACTAGAAAAGCTCCAGATCTGGGTGATATTAAATAGAAGAACCTCTCCATCTGTTGAGAATCAAGCACCTGTTACCATCCTGTAGCCAGTCACTTTACTGAGCAGGGGACCTTTAAGTTATACTACCTGCTACAACTAATATTCTGGTAGTTACTGAAACTAACATTCTGGTAGAACATGAGGGTTCAGCAATGCCAGCAAAAAGCCTGTTGTTGGATAGTATCCTAAACGAGTTCATTTTAATCTTATCCTTCCACCCCTTTGGATGTTTACGCAGCTGTTTCTCAAGAAGACATAATAGGAAATTCTGTAATCACTTCATGTCTCACCCACTATACTTACTTGTTTACTCCCTCCTAAAGTTCTTGATTTCACTGCAATATTTGGATTATATGAATTACACAAATGACGAATTTCCTAGTCATCTCCTTCCCCAAGAATGCTACGTCCCTTTTCCAAATCTCATCCTAGCCACAATAGTAATATTAGGTGAAAACTCCACACTATGCAGACTAATTTTGTTTTCATAGTCCTGTTCCTTTCTCCAGCCCAAGTCCTTATATTCTCTCCAGCACTGTCCCCAAACTCGCTCCATCACTGTTCTTTTCCTACTGTGAGGGCCAATCTACACCCATATCTAACCATCAGGTAATATTAGAAGAGAAGGGTAACGCGGTGTGTCTTATTGCCTTCCAGGACCCCAACACTGGTTTTGTGACTAACACTCCTCTGGAAGTGTTCACAATGACCCCCGGCAAGAGGTATAGATTCCGTCTCATCAATTCATTTGGCACAGTGTGTCCAGCCCAGTTCAGTGTGGAGGGACACGTCCTGACCCTCATTGCGACAGACGGAGAGCCTGTCCAACCCGTCAACGTAAACACCATCATCTCTTTCTCTGGTCAGTGTCCATACTACAACACACAGTAATAGTCCAATATGTCCAACAAAATTCCCAGTCCTCAGTAAGTGTAGAATATTCTGTCCATGTATTCCTACTTCATTGCTTATGTCTGTCCGCTGAACCGATTGTGATAAAAACCGGTACTCGAATTCCTGCATTAAAAACTGTAGACGAGTTTAATTTTTATTCTTGTCAGTACAATAGAAACGAATTTTATACTCACTAAATATATGAAGACATGCTCAGTCAGTATAAAGTATAAAGGGAATTTAGGAAGGATATAAATAGTTGAGTGTATCACTAAGACCTACGTGTAAATAACCCCATGGAAATTAATAATTGTGGGGAAGTGACATTTGTCCTCCTGGTCATGAAATTCCCTGCCTTTTACTTAATCTAAAGATCCGTTACCGTAATCATACGAACCCGGCACTGGACATTATCCCGAACCAGATGAATTAATTCGAGTCATCACATCCTAATTTTTAAAATTCGTTGTATTATTTATCCCCCATCGATGCATGGATCTTCCAAGTGATCTCTCTTCCCTCAGACACTACATTGTGTACGCATTCTTCATCCCTTTTATGTGTAATCTAAAAGATTGAAAAGTTTTTCAGGGCAAAAATTGTATGGTATTCTGTAGTCAAAATTACTGGGTTTTTGGACTTTGTCCATCGTCCGGTATTCTAGAAACTAGAAAACACAACGCCTCTAAGCTGGATCTGTTTCCGTCCTCAGGTGAGGGGATAAGACACCTACTCTGTTGGGTCCCTTAGAAAGAGCTGACCTCAATCAATGATCCAGTGGCTGAGGTTAGCTCTTACGAGGTGACCCAACAGAGTAGGTGTCTTCCCCCAGATCCAGTGTCCGAAACGTTGTATTTTGTAGATTATAGAACACCGGACTTTGGACAAAGTGCCAAAAACACTAGTAATTCCGAGTATTAAACACCATCGTGATTTTTGGTCCGAGGGGGAGACTTTAGTTTTTGCCTTGAACGTTCTTCGCCATTGGTTTGCTCAAAAGACGAAACCACTGAGCAAGATGGTTCGTATGCTAACCATTCTGACTTGTGAGGTGCACTGTTGGTTACAGCCGGGGGGAGAGACTATCCTGAGTAAATCTCCTTCGTGGTTTTCCTCATCTTCCCAAATCCACCGAAATAGATCGCCCACCAAACAAATAGTGTAGTTTATAGAGAATCGTCAGGCTAACCACGACCCATCCAATGATGGAAATGCTGTGTGGTCCGCAGGAGAACGTTATGACTTCGTTATCACAGCCGATCAGCAGGTGGGAGCTTACTGGATCCAGGTGCGCGGTCTGGGGGAGTGCGGTGCGAAGAGGGCCATGCAGCTCGCCGTGCTGAGATATGCCAGGGGCCCATACCAGCCCTCCAGCCAGCAGCCCACTTATGATGTGGGACTCCCTCAAGGCGTGGTAAGCGAACCTGTGCAACATTCCCATCCAATCTGGTATTCCTACGAAGATGGTCACGCTAATCTTGTATACTGTGTACACAGACTCGTTTCATATTCAGAATAATCTTAAATGAAGAGAAGTTCCGTCGTCATAGCTTCAGAATACTCTACTGGGAAGGTCCCAGAAAATCTGGACAGATTAAATTTAATGTAACGCGTCCTCGACCGCCTCTGTGGTCTAGTGATCACAGTTCCCGGCTACAGATCCAGGGGCCCTGGGTTCGATTCCCGGCACTACCAGATTTTCTGAGAAGTAGTGGGTCCACTCAGCCTCGTGAGGATACTCGAGGAGCTATTTCAAGGAAATAGAGGCTCTGGTGTAGAAAACCGAAATTAACGGCCGTGGGAATCCGTTGCGCTGACCACGTGACACCCTCTATCAGCTAAAGTTGACACTAACTTCGCAGACAAGCGGCGATCCCTCGGTTTGTATAGTTCGGTTGTGGACTACAGGCCACGAAGTTTTGTAACACGTCGTCACCCATCTATACTGATGGTACAGAGCTGCTGAGCAAAATCAGAAATACCTTAAAGAGAAACAGAGAAGCAATAGTAAACGCTAGTGAGGGAGTTAAATTCTGGAAGAAAACGCAAAGAAAATTCATATCCATATCTTGTCATAGCTTGGTTTAGGGGGAAGCAACCGGGGCTTCCACAAAACAGAAGAAGAATCCACAGGTTTTATTAAGATATTTTCTTCTTAAACCCACGACAATTTATTTTGTATTTTCAATTATGGTATGAAATATGAATTTAAAAACCTAAAGGTGTTGTTACTGAGAGGAGCGCTTACATTTTTATTGCCGAAGGGCCCCAACATCTGCTAACCCGGCCCTTAGACTCGTCATCAAAATGATGGGCAGCATTATAATAATAGATAACTAATATAATCCAAGAAAATGCAGCACAGTTCAAACTATTCATATATTAATATAATTTGTATAAATGGTGCTATTGCTGTTGCAATAGTGTCTTACTAACTTAAGTACAATAAGAAACCAAAGCAGATAGAGGAACAGGAGTTCCCATATCATCTGCTAACCAAAGAGAAGAAAGAGGAGTCCTGAGCATTCTTATTTCTAACAGACAGAATAACAAGATTAAAGCCAATTCTGTCTCAACAGACATTCTAACAAATCCAAGTAATATATAAAGATAACAACAAATAAGAATTCCATTTAAGGAACTGTTAAAAGCAGAATAATTCATGGAATGCTTCTTACAGTTTAATTGAGAATCTTGTCGCCTCCTACCTAAATATTTTAAAGACTGAAATACAGAAATCTGTTTCACTACTTTTGGTTTTCTCTGGGTAAGGAATTTATTTTATACGCCTCCATTGTCTTGTGTCTTAAGCATTGTGGCAACTGTCAACGACTTCTTTATTTTTAAGGTTCTGAACCCGCTGGATGCTGTATGCAACAGAAGAAGAACCGACGCCATATGCATCAACCAGCTGAAGAACGCTAGGCACATTGACGAGGGTCTACTCCAGGAGCGTCCCGACGTCAAGATTTTCCTCCCTTTCCGCTTCCTGTTCTACAGACCGGAGGAACTTTTCCAGCCGCATTCATACAACCGATTCTTGGGTATGGCCTTTCTCTTATTTCCAGCCTAAATCGGTGCTTTGGTTCTCATTCATATGTCTCTTTGTTCGGGTAATATTGCTGGTCAAGCAAATCTGTTACATCGACTGAAATGTTCGTGACTTGGCTTTATTGATGAGCAACACAATCACCGCTGAGCTTCCGAATTGCTAGTAAGAGACAACGGAAATTCCTGGGGTACTTCTCAAATTTATTATGGTATACACAGTGTGGAATGGTGGGATGATCATGAAAACGAAAGAATTTTCAGAGAAGCGGTTGTATTTTGATAAACATCTGGACAGGGACAGACAAGCAGGGCCAAGTTTCTAACGTAATATATGAGAAATTATTGTAATCCTGAAAAAATATGTCTTGAGAACTTGACGGATGTACCCGTTTTCAAGCCTCCTGAATGCGAATAGAAATTTTGGCATGCTGTCTGCCTGTACGTATATAAGTATGTATATATGTATGCTATAAATATTATGTATGTTATGTTAGGTTATGAATGTATATATGTATATACTATGTATGTATATATGTATGTTATAAAATATGAATGTTACGTATGTTATGTATGTATGTTAGCCTCGCTAGCTCTTGGACAAATTTTGTTCACATTCGGAATTCAAGAGTTTATGCGCCAAAAGTTTGTACCCGGTAAGTCTGAATATTCCAGCTCCAAAATAAGGGCCCCATCAAATGTACCCCAAAATACAGCGGCGATTTTCTTGAAGGTGGCAAAAAGATTTTGATTAAATTGTAGTAATCTCTAAATATTATATCCCCAAATGAAACTGTATTTATTATATCTTCAGGAAGACAAAAGCATCTGCATTAGGGAACCAACTGTAAAATGTATATTTTCTCGATAGTGATTTTACAAAATAGACATATTTTATTGTTGCACGAAATGTAGCAACCAACAATTGTCTGCCACATAACAAACGATTTCGTTTTCAAAATACCGTAGTTAAGATCTACAGAAAGAATATTCAATGACTTTACACCTAATTTTATCACATGGTTTGTGACCTGGATATTACAGAAAAATTTCCAACTAAGACAACATGGTTAAGCACTAAAAAAGGCAACAGTCGAACCGAGCCCATTAACTTAACAGACATATCTGAGGAGTTATTCACTAGTAACTTCTGGCCACTGTGACATGTGATTGTGACTTGACGCCTAAAAGCCGGAATAGTGGAGCCAGAGAAGACGTTCTTTGCAAAACAAAGACTCGGATAACAGTTTCCCGCGGAAATGAAGACGCTAGCAACAATAGAAGATCTACCGTTTCAATGCGACGGTGAGGTAAACACACATCTATAACAACAAGGAAATTATTAAGAAACGATATTTTCTTTTGGGGCCGCACTGAGGCTATAAAACGAGGATCTCAGGCAGCTGAGTACTAGAATTGAGAGAGTCTAGAGACGGCAGTCGAAGATGACTGAGAATAGATGACAACGATACTTGACAGATGATGAAGGAATCAATAGGGTTCAGTTAAGAGTTGAAAGTCCGGAAGTGGAGAAAAGTCTTTATGTGTGCTGTAGTACAGTGATATTTGGAGTGTTGATTCAGTGTGACTGATATGATTACTGTGTTCAAATCCGTTGCCAGGATAGGACTAGTGAAGCCTGAGAGCCTTAGTGTGTGTAAGGCTGAACTGTAAAATGTGCAGATCAGCGACAGCGCTGTAATTGCCTATAGATCCGAGTGGTGTGCATAAAGTGTCAATAAATCCAATCATCCAATCCAACCTCGTCTAACAGTCACACACACCCACATGTGACAATGTATAAAACCAATTGTCAGCTGACTGAAACACTAACTTCTAATATTTCAAGACGTCGCACATGCCTCACAACTGTACCCATTATAAAAACGAGTTACTTAAGGTTGTTCAGGAAAATTATAGAAGTTCATTATGAAGTCCATACCAACACATAAATACAGTCTGTGGGGAAAATGCGGATAGTTTTGGTGTTAAACAGGTAGAAACTTATGTATAGGAAGGAGATTACCTTAAATGATTAAGAAAAAACTAATGAAAGTGAGATAATATAAAACATAAGGGCTTAGGTTCGCCTTGTTAGGACATTACGTAATTAGGAACACTGTGCTATATACCAGTCACCCAGCGCTCTCATAACAGGGGAACGCAGGAGCTTATGATGTACGAGGCACGTGACTAAATTGCGAGAGATGAGGAAGGTATACAGAGACAGAAAATATGACGTCACTATGCCATGAAGACAGAAGTTAGAGAGATAAATTGTGAGCATGGAACGTGGATATATCCTGAAATAGAAACGGCACGCTTGAAGATATAATGAGCCAAGAATTAACAAACGTAGAGTGATGTTTTAATGTCTTTTTCTATGTTTTTGTCTCTCACTACATAAATAATATTAAAAAAGATTAAATTCTATTATACAAACCCTGTATTTGAAATGGAGGAAACTACCCTCGTAATGTTCAAGATCCAGGGTGCTAACAATATAGGATTTATTTTGTTGACAGTTGCCCCCACCGGTGATCACGTGATCAGTCTTGTCGATGAGATTTCCTTCGTTTTCCCTCCGGCTCCGCCCCTCTCTCAGATCGACGACATCCCTCCGGAACAATTCTGTAATGGCGACAACAGACCTCCAGACTGTGGCGCCAACTGCATGTGTACACACAAGGTGGACATCCCGCTTAACGCCGTTGTGGAGGTCGTCTTAGTTGACGAAGGTAAGTTATTCATGTGTCTGCATACAAAATAAAATAAAAAATACACTGCAAAACGGCATTAAATTAATATAATCCTTATGCCTTGGGTAGTAAACAGATTACATAGGAAAATTTGGAGTTAAAAAGCAAGTTATGTCGAATTAAGTGATGGAAAGTTAAAGCAATTATAGGAGCCTGTCACTAAGAACCTAGAAGTCATGCAACTCAACAGAAAAATTAAATTGGATTTGAAGAAAGCAGTCTTCCGGGATGTGGCACCATGTAGATGTTTTGATTTGTTTCACTCTGGTTCGTCACACTAACAATATTATAAAAAGATAAAACATTTCCGTCCAGTGTGACTGATGAAGATTTTTCTTATTTCAATTCTTCATGCATGCCACGAACAACTACAGGACGACATCAAAGAATCTTCTCAAGAACGACAGGCGGCGCACGTTCGGCCCCCGTCAAAGGAAGTAATAAGAAAGAGGACACAAAACTATTTGGTTTATAAATTCCAATTTAACTAACAAAAAAATTAATATATCAAGACAGCCGCTGTTGTAAAAACTTTGGATTTTGTATCCATTTGTATATTGTCAACATTGTATGTATATATTAACGCTCAGAACATCAACTGTAATAGCAGTTTCCAAACTGCATTGAAGTCCCTCTGCTGATGGTCTCTAATGACCGAAACATGCAAGGGCATGAAGAATTGAAATTAGAAAAATCTTCACCAGTCACACTGGACGGAACTGTTTTATCTTTTTATAAGAGAAATTACAAATTTAAACGTTACTTCTCTTTAATTTTGCGATCTCTTTAACGAATTCTGTAAGTAACTCAAGCCTGCAGCATCGACGAAATGAGGTAGTTTAATACAACTTGGAAACTCCCATGAAACTTCTGTTGTCGAATGCCAAAACACTGGATGTTCCACGGCGATCTGCAAGGATGAACCGCAACGTGCCACGAAGATGAAACTGCGTTTATGACCATGATTTATTTCACCGTTTTTTAGTGCATACATATATCTAACTCACTCCTTTCTCCCGCACTACATGTTTCGGCACAAAAGTGCCATCTTCAGGTGCTTATTCGATTAACGTCAAACTAGTTCACTGCATGCCTTGTCTTCATATTAAAATAATTAAAATATATATTTATCATATATACTGATCAATATTAAAAATATTAAAATTGTTCAGGATTTTTCCTACGTCGTATCTCACTTCTCGAGTCACCTCTAATCTCTTCTGTAAGAGCACTCTTTCTATTATCTCGTGTGTATTGTGTTTTATGTTGTGTCTTGCTCCTGTGACTGCGTGTGTTATACTGCTGGGCCTGCTGGGTATGTGTGTGTGTTTATGTGTTTATGTGTTTAGTCATACTGTCTTGAAGAGTAAGAGTATTCCCATAGACCTGCGAAAAGTTTGCAACCTCTTCAAAGCAGCCTTTTTGTTAAGTGAAAAGCAAGTGTAGAATTTTAAAATGTCTTCATTTGGCTCTCAGTTTGGCAGTAATCACAAACAAAATACTGGAGCCAAATTTATGAAATGTTATACATTAATTACACAAATATCTATTATTACGTCGGAACTATTCCTTATAGGTTAACAAATAGAACGTAGCATTGGTGCGAATCTTAGAAGTTGTATCTGTCGAATTTAAGGTACATAGTCTGTGCTTTAACAGAAATACAAAGTCTGTGGCCTGTAGTCCGCAAGCGAACTATACCAACCGAGCGACCGTCGCTTATCGGCCAAGTTAGTACTCAATTTTGTGGATAGAGGGTGTCACGTGGTCAGCACAACGGATCCCCACGATCGTTAATCTCGGTTTTCTAGACCGGAGCCGCTATTTCCTTGAAATGGCTCCTCAGTTATCCTCACGAGGCTGAGTGAACCCCGTTCCAGACCCACTACTCCTCAGAAAATCTGGTACCGCCGGGAATCGAACCCGGGACCTCTGGATCTGTAGGTGGGAAGTCTGACCACTAGACCACAGAGGCGACCATTTAACAGAAATTCTTGACCAACTTTATATAAAAACAAAAACGATAAAATTAATGTGAGTGTAGCAATTGTGAACCATACTGTGAAACTGTCTTGCAGTTCAGCAGCCAAACCTGAGTCATCCCTTCCATCTGCACGGGTACGCTTTCAATGTTATCGGTATGGGACGGTCCCCAGACAGGAATGTGAAGAAGATTAACTTGAAGCATGCCCTGGATCTGGACAGGAGAGGTCTCCTCAACAGAGAGTTCAATCTACCTCCCGGAAAGGACACGATCGCTGTCCCCAACAATGGCTATGTCGTCTTCCGATTCCGCGCTGATAACCCTGGTAAGTGCGGAGATGCTTCAACTTCTTGCCACCAGAGTGCACGCAGCATATAATTCTCAGCTTGCCCTCGTTCTACATGAAACAAATGTCACGTAAATATATGAACGTTATGAAATCTCGAGCCACTACTAATAAATTTACTTCCGGAAACAAAGAAAAGAAAGCTATTTCGTAGGATCTGTGTGGTATGTATGTAAATAATTTGAATTATTCCAAAATTATCGAGTAAGAATTTTATGGCTAGATTTCTGTCATTTGCCGTTTTTACGGTTATTTTTACGGAATTCTTCATCATAAAACTATAACATACCAACATTTCCACAAATATTATTTAATATAGCCTTATCATATGGTGGTCTGAATCTACTACGTCGTATTCTGCAAGCCCTGGGTTCGAAACTTTTAGTGTAGATCGACTGTCTTCTTTAAGATTTCTTGTTTTTCCTTTAAAAATCGAGGGAAATGTAGGGACAGTACCATGAAGTAGCTGATAGCTGTTTACTTCTACATGCTTTCCTATTCTTCACTCACATTAACCCTTGTCGTCTGACAGCACATAACCTATGTGGTTTAACCCGCACCACTAAATTCCCAGAGAATCTGTCACTGGTACTAAAGTTAAAACCAGAGGATTTATAGTCTGTACTATTCACTAAATATTTTTACATTTGTCAAATTAAAGACGATTAGACCACTTCGGAGTCCTAGGACCATATCTAAGGGTCGTATTAAAATTGATCTCAAAAGAATAATATGAAGGTGAGGACTGGATTCACTTGGCTTAGGATAGGGGCCAATGACAGGTACTAGTGAACATTAAATAAAAGAGGAGTTCTATCTTCTGGGCTGTAACGTCGAGTAGTCCATTGAAAGTCAACGACAATTTCAGAGGAACTTGCCGCCTCCATCTTCAAGGTTGAATAGTAAACCAAGCAAAAAATCGGTATGAACCTGGCAGAAAGAAACTACTTCAAGTTGGTTCCTTGCTTGTCTTATCCTTCAACACTGAATATGGAGGCGACATATTATTCCATAAGGTAGGTTGGTTTTAAATGAACAACACGGAATTATGTCCCAGATGGACGGAATTCTTCATAACCACTATTGTGAAAAAGTAATTAAAGGTTTCCCTGGGGTTGTGAGATCTTGAGGCTCCCACATTTTCTAGCCAATCGGCTCACAGATGGGGGTGAGGTTGTCAGCCTTACGCTCTGGCCGCCCTTTGCCCCCCGGCATATTCCTAGTACTCATTTCTGTTAGAGGCTGAGTCGATCCCAGAGTCACAGTGCGGTTGGAAGGATTAGGTAAACTGAAAATGTCCAGGGATTCGATCTCGCGACGGTGCCTCAACCAATTACGCTACAGCATGCCCCTACCACTATTGTTAAAACCGCAAATTATATATAAAATGAGCCTTTGGGTATAATATTTAAAAAGGAATTTCTGAACAAGCCGACTGACATGCAGCTTCTCAGGAAGGACTCCGGTCCATGAAGGAGTTAGATAAGATGAATTTACGAGTAGTTTGAGCTCTCTCGAAAACTTCACTGGGAATTGTTGATTCCGATATGGAGGAATGAGTACCCAGTTCATGGGTGAGGAAGGAATTTTGAACAAAACACGAAACACTTCATGTTGCCTCTTCCTTATCATTTGAACTAATCTGTTCTTGCTTTCCAGGATACTGGTTGTTCCACTGTCACTTCCTGTTCCACATCGTCATAGGCATGAACACCGTCATTCACGTTGGAACTCATGCAGACCTGCCACCTGTGCCACATAATTTCCCCAGATGTGGCGACTTCTTGCCCCCGATTAGCTTACACTGATAATAAGTCATGTTAAGTACAAGAGCACAAGGGCCGTGTTATGGATTAAAGTTTCGACATATTCCATATGTCTATTTGCAGTAAAGTGTACCCAAAATTTCTTGGCATCTATTAGGTACTATGTTAGTTTTTTAAGATCTTCAAACTGGAGTGAAGAATTGTTTATGTACTTCGTAACTATACTTCTTTAACATGCCAAGATGTTTTGGCATGTATTTGATACTGCGATAGGTATGTAGTTCTTGACACAATCAAATGATGTTCATCTGATGCTCTTTCCCAACTCTGTCTGTCAAAAAAATTCAAATGCTCTTTTGAAAAGAGTGATTACAGAAGACAGAGCAACAATATTTCCCGAGAAAAACTGGACGACACAAAATATTTGTCAAGTCAGTGCCTTTTCAGGTTAATTTTTTTTTAACATCAAACAAATCCCGACATTTATTTCATCTCATTTAACATACGCATTCTAAACTGTCATCACTCATCATCAATCATTTGTAATAACCTGAACAATTAAGAGGAGAGCCCAAAGAATTCGCCATCATTTCGTTACATTAGCAGGTTCGCCTCTAACGATATTGTGTCTTCGTTCTGTTTCTAAATGTTATCTGTTAGAATGGGCACCAAATGCTTTATGGGGACAAGTCCTATTACCACCATAAAGCTCATGGAATCCTCATTCCACTCAAAAGTAATTCTTATACTTTTCAGTGGAATGGCAGGAACACTGTGTTAGTACTGAATGTTCGAAGACAAGCGATGTTTCTTTTAATATCTCAAGTATTAATATTTATTGAACCCTAAGGATGAGTACTTTGCAACTGAAATATTTATATGTACTTATTTAGAGTATGGAGTGGAATTATCTTCATGCACAAGTCACTGTAAGTATGGTTTCTCTGGGGAGAAGAATAAAGAAGGGCTCTACATTGGGTTCGAAGTGCTAGTGAGCATCTTTGTAGCCCCCCCCCCCCACCCCGAATGGTACTGTTGTAAACTCTATTGACTCTTAGTTTTAATTTTAATAGACAACCTTTTAATTTACATAGGCGCAATCCAGAAATTCCTTCAGACTTTTCATTTATTTCAGTTGCACTGAACAAACATCAAATACACTATTAGAATAAAATGTATTCTGTCTCTACGTTCCATTGTAAGAGCAGTCACATCAACCCAGTGTTGTAACTTCGTAAACAAGTTGTGTTGTGCATTGCTAAGTCTGTAAATATAGTTTGTATATTTGTGTGTTCTCTTTGAAGTAGAATATTATATAAAAATTACTTTAAGAATTATGTATTTTTGTTTTTAGTTAAAAATTAAAAACTTTATATAAAATATACTTGGTCACTACAGAATATGCTCTCCAGTCTAAGAATATGACAAGTGGAATAATTCAGTTCATTTGTGATACAATATTATGTTGATACTGGTAGAATTTGGTTAGCAGGTTAACTGCTAGAAGGCAGAGAACTGTAATCAAATACAATATTTGTTCAAACTTTCCTTGACTGTCATCTGCAATCACTCATTTTGGTGACTGGAGTATGCACTGTGTGTACTGACCACAAATGAAATAATGTTACATGTTAACCATTCCAAAAGGTAAACTTTCCGGAATTATCATAAAATTTTCATAGAAAAAACTCATGATGTGAAACTAGTCTCAACAAGTGAGTTGGTGTCTTCGTCTTCTTCAATATTCCTGTATTGTCTTTTTTTAATATTTCTCAAGTGTTACATAATATCTATTAAAATTATCACCAGACTTTGCAATTATGACACAACCTGCTCTATTTGTTACAGATGTTGCATTCACTTCAACAAATCATTAATATGATGATTTTACCGAATGTAACCTCATAGTTTGTATGGTTGGTGATAAAAGTGTCATTCATTATTATTATTATTATTATTATTATTATTATTATTATTATATTATTATTATTATTATTATTATATTTCATTTTTGAGTTAACAATAAAGTTGTTGAAACTTGTATGTTAAATCTTTACATGAAATGTGATCCTGATGATTTCCAAATGTGGATGTATTACACTGTAGTGTAAGTTATTCCCATATCTCCTGTACATACAAAAGAAAGTAAATAACTTCACACCCATACAGAGTAGGAGATACATTGAGGGTGTATGCAAACACAGTGCTGATAGACTACATAAAAGGCAAGTGAGAATACTGCATTATGAGAATTTTCAGAATCTCTATTCTTCATCAGATCTTATTAGGATATTCAAACCAAGGAGGATATGATGATTGGGACAAGCAGCACACAAGGGGAAGATAAAAAATACAAAATTATAGTTGGAAATCCTGAAGAGAAGAGATCACTTGGGAGATCTACATCATATTTTTCATGAATACAAACGTGTACTATAGTTATGTCTTAAGACCTATTTCCTTAAAGCTAGGCCTACGTTTTGATGATAAAATAGCATTAGGATGGATCTTAATATAATGACCCAGATTACAGTCGAAACTCTTTAGTCGCACTTTGTGTTCCATAAAAGATATTTATTTCTGAAACAGATGAGCAAATATTTGATACTTCAAAATGACACAGCAGTGAGTATTTTAGTTACCATTTTCACTCTTTTCTTCTTCCTACCTTAAATTTTTAATTTATGATTTCTTCCTGCCTTTCTGTCTGTCCCTTATTCTTTCATGCTTCTTCTCTTCTGTTAATTCAACCATCCATCCACAATATTTGCCTATCAATCAAACTTTATCAACTTGCCTCCCCAGTTTTCACTTTCTTTCTCTACTAGAGCACTTGTACTTCTCCTTGTACTCCATGTAATTTTCTTCCTCATCCTCACATGATTAATCTTCATACTCTTTGTAGCCGTCATTTTGTTAGACAATTATTCATTCTCCACATCTTCAATGTCTGAAATATCCTCTTTTCTTCCTGCTCCATGCCTTCATTTTCCACCTCTTTGTTCTCATTCTCTTGTTCATTTCTCTTATCCTTATCCTGTGCCTTGCTTTCTCCTTGTATAATTCTGGATATGCAATTAAATGGCTCCATGTCATGGTACCTCTTAATGTGGCACACACTATTTCACTGAAAAGAGTTAATAAAAATACAAAAACAAAATAATTTCTTTGCAGTATTTTGAACGGATGGAAATTCTTTGATTCCAAAAAGACGAAACCTTCTAAATTTGAAGCCAGATGAAGAAGAGACCAAGACCATCCATGGACACAACTGAGAAAATTCTTTATAATGTTAACAGTCGAATAAGATGGAATCTTATTTATCATTTATTTAGTGATGTGGTAAGTAGCTCAGACAATATAGTGTTGAATTGTAGGATTTTTACTCAATTGGAAAGGATATCAAACAAAGCAAATATGGCCTAATTTGAAGCACTGTTTTGGCATTTTCCAGGAAGGACTGAGGAATTCGATGAAAATTCACACTCAGGATAACTATTTTCAGGGGCCGAGGTTTGAACCCAGAATGTTCTGAATATGCAGCAAGAGAAAACCACTTTTGTGTGCAATATTTGTTAAAATGGAATCTTAATAAAACATATGGACACTGGATAAACTGACCAGCCAGATTTATGGTTAGATCTTACACTGCATAGGATGTACTCTACGTACGAGTACTCTATTTATCTGAAGAGAACTGTAACATGTATGAACTATGTTATCATTTACCGAGTATAACAAGAAAAAAATTTCATTTTAGTTTCCATGAGAATTTCAGATCATGAAGAAAGACAGAAATATTGTTTTGGAAGAGAACAAATATTAACTCTGCCAAAGTAAAAACATCACACCCAATTTCTAATCGAGATTATATTAAAAGGAAATGAATCACAGGAGCCTCATCAAATGTTTGGTATTTATATACGGCATATTACAGGAATTCAATGTGTTGAAGATTTTAATATTATAAATAAACTGTATGAATTCAAATAATAAATAACTCTATTTTTAATAATAACATTGCACATATTCATATAAATATAACAATATGTCAAAACACAAAAATGGGCTTTTTATGATCACCACAACGAGGAAAATCTGATGGCACTGGAGGTAGATGTGTTTGCTCTCCTACTTGGACGATGAACTGCATTCCTCCTCCTATGACCGAGCTCGTTGAACGAGCCTCGAAGAGCCAAGAACCTAAAAATTAAAATGAAGCATTAGCCTCTCTGTCCTCCACAAAAGCACATGTTTATACTTACATTTCCGCCATTTAACTTGAGTACATCATCCTTAATATAAGGATGATGATCATGATGGACCATCATCATCATCATCATCAAGCTAGGAGAGCTCACTCAGTAAAATTACTCCTTATGAGTATGGATTTCTTCTGCACAGTCTGCTATGTGACCAAATCAGTCTCCTGTCAGGTAAATGCAAGATGTAAAGAAACCACAACATGAAGCTGGCCACTCATTTAGGCATTTAGTCGTGAGTATGAAAATTCACGGGTCTTTATCTCCACAGTTCCGCACATCTCAGTGTTGTGATGCATAAGCACAGGTATAACTTACATTTGTATTTCATCAATGTGGAGCAATCAATTTTGAATGGAAGCAGACCTTGACAATCAGCCCTGAACCATAATGATGATGATCGTACCATCATAATCACCTAACCTGTAACTTTCTTCATAGTGCAATTTGTTCTCTGTTCATATAAAAGCACCCTGGAATGTGAACACTGGTATCAGATGGTAGATCTCAATACAGAGATACATTTTGTAGTGTGTACCATTCATTTCAATAAATTTTGTGCATGTTAAATTTATAACAACTTTCATGGCAGCTTGTTGTGTAAGTTAAGTGATTCATGTGTCACAGCAATCATTCTTAGGTTGATCATGGAGATAGAGTAAAGGTAAGCTGCCCTTGTGTTCAACTAACAAGCAATATGCCATTAAGGCATACTGGAGAATGGATGTATAAATCCACATTTTCTTGACCTCAGGACTAGCTAGAGGTGAGCGGTCAGTTTCACGCCCTGGGCACTTTACCCCCAGGAAAGAATCCCTGGTACCCATTTGATAGGAGTTTGGCTGGACCCCAGAGTCGGTCTCAACGACATGGAGAAGTAAAAATTCTTGACCCTACTAGAATTCGAACACCGACCTCTCAGTCATCCAGTCTGTAGCCAGTCGCTATACCGACTGCACTATCGAGGCTCCTGTTCATGAAGGAGAAGACCTAATTTGAATGGTAGTTATAAATAAAGAAGCTAAGACAGAAAGCCAGCCAGGGTAACTCCACCAGCTTGGGTGTTGGGTTGGAGGCTAACAACCATGTCACAAAATATCAGAAAGATCCTCAAATTTGGGCAGATTCTTTTGTATAATTTTTTAATTTGTGAAATAAACAGAGATTTGTATCTTAGATGGTTAGTATTCTCTGTATGTCAGGTTGCTGAAGCTTCCTATGAAATCAAGGAGGTGGAAGCAGGGCGTGTTGGACGAATGGGGTTATATAAAGCATACACAATATTTATGTTGGAAGCACTGATATAAAAGAACTCATGTAGGATCTAGATACAAATGGAAACATATTTTAAAAATAAGCTTTACATAAATAATATTGGAGGATGTAAACTTAATTAAACAGGCTAAGTAATGGGTCCAATGGCAGGCTCTTTGAACACAATAAGTGACATTTGGGTTACAATAAGAAATGGCGATGTATTGACCACCTGAGATTCTATCAGCTTCTCAAGATGGATTATCCTCCATGGAGATTCTTTATATTTCATTTAATAAAAGTTAAGGTAAAGCTGTCCCTATTCTTAATTAATTAAGCATTATGCCATGAAGGCATATGGAGAGTGGATGTATAGACCCACATTTTCTTGACCTCAGCACTATTTGGAGATGAATGGTCAGCTTCATGCCCCGGTTGCTTTACCCCTAGGGAAAGAGCCCCTGGTTCTTATTGTATAGGAGGTTGGGTGGACTCCAGAGCCATTCTGGAATATGTGGCGAAGAGAAAATTCTTGAACCTACCAGGACTCAAACTCTGACCTCTCGGTCATCCAGCGCATAGGCAGTTGCTATACCGACTACACTATCCTGGCTCCTATATTTAATTTAATGCTAGTTGAAATGTATTTTGTAAGATACTTCATAAGTGTAACTAACCAGGATTATCAGTGAACAAACGGATGATTGCATAACCTTTACTGGGTACCACAACTGTGTCTTTCCTAGGTGCATCTACAAGGTTCCTGGATAGTAAGCCATGACTGTCACTCAATTGAATCTCGGCAACATCTATAGGGCGACCCAAAGACTCAGAACCCAGAACTAGGAAATTGTATCCATGAAGATGAAACGTACTGGAATGATTGCTGCCATGACCTGCAATAACACAAAACACATATACATTTGCTGTCTCTTTACAGCCAAGGGTCTGCTGGCAAAATCTCAGTACATTAAACATTCTTTATTCAGCTCTGTCTGATAGTAATTTCAATGGCATCAGTTTGAAGAAAGTAGAAAACAGAAGAAGGTGGTCACACACACTTAGCATTTAATTTTGAATTTGATAACAATAGCAAATGAACAAACCATGTAAAATGTTGTACACAGACAGATAATAAAATACATAGCTATGCTGACTATATGAATTTTTTTTTACTTACCATTAGTAATATACATGATAAAGTACACCGTGTAATTTGTACAGTCTATGTGAACAAATTTCTGTTCCCTTGAGCATTATTTTTTCATTTTAATTGTTGTGTGGTGTATCAGTGTTTCAGACAAATAAATTATTTATTTATTCTTTGTACATAATACACACATTTAACTCAACATAAAATACACAATAATGAGTAATTATGAGATCTATATTACTGACTAGGGATATCATGTCTGTCTGCATGCCCACCTGACTGTATGTAGAAACCCAAGAACTGCTGGCCATATTTCTCTCAAATATAAATTGTAGTTCCTTGTCTAACCTCATCATGCTAATTTAAATTCCATTATGACTGGAATAGTTTGAAGCATTGTTTTTTCCAGCTCTGTATACGGGCAGTAGCCTCTTCAGCAATAAGAAAGGACATTTTATGTTGTTTCAGAATCTATGTAGTGTGACCAAACTCTTAATTAATCTGTTACAACATACTTTAAGGAACACTAATTTATGTTGCTTTATACCCACAGTAACAAGTCAAGATATTAATTTTGTCAAGTTAGAGTGGGCACTTTGTGACAATGGAAATTTGAGTTTATGTGGTAATCTGCATTTTAATCTATTTGTTATGTATGTGGAGCAGAAGTAAATATAAAGCAGGATAAAGAGCAAGAAAGTTCCATGTGTATGACACAATGTCATGATAGTCAACACAAGTTACATTCTAGTAGTCCTACATGTCAAATTTGATTCTGTTAACATTCATCATGGCTTGAACTGAAATCAAAATACCTCCCCAGACCTCATCTAATAGGAAACAAAAATGCTGTCTCTTTCTGGCCAGTGTTGAATGACATCTGCTCCATTCATATCCTGAATATAGTATCCTGGAAATTATGCAAACAAATGAAAAACTAAATTGAATAATTATTATTTATAGTTGTCACAAGGTTCATCATACAGATTATAGTAAATTTAGGAAGGCATGAACAATAAATACTTCCCAGAACGTTTGTTTGGAATCATTCTGTACAGGAATATAACAGCCTACCTTCATTGACGAGGACTATGTCGAGAGTGACATTAAGTGGGGTGTGAATGACATGGAGGCACTCGCAGAACTTGCGGCGCCGACAGTCGTCACTGCACAGCATCCCTTTGGGTACAGACTCTGGTTGGCTCAGCAGAGGAGAAGGTGGGTACTTAAACGTCAGCCTGTCCACCTGGGGCAGCCGTATTGGGGCCTTCCTGTTGTCTGAACAATTAATCAGTAACTGTAATGCGATTCAGACAATAAGTTGCATTTATGTGAGTTGTGTAGCAATAAGGAATGCATTATGGCAACAGTAAACTGATTAGTTATCAGTCAGTATTCTCTGCTGACAATGTACACTTTCATAGGGTATGAGGTTCTCACAGCAGTGGTTAAGCAGAGCACTGTCCCCTGGAAAATAACGCCATGTAGTCCTCTGAAAGTCAACTGACGTTCTGGAGGAAAGTCTCTGTTTTCCATCTGCTTTCACCCTGGTTTCGTATTCGCCTTATTCTTTCACCCTGAAGATGGAGGCAAAATGTTCCTCTGAAACATCGACTGACTCTCAGCTGACTACAGGGCATCATATCCCAGAAGACAGCATTCGTCAATGTACACCTTCCAACCAACTTTTAAAACTTAACATCCTTTTTCAGTGCAGAAAAATATTTTACATTGCCGTGTTTCACATATTTCATACTGTTCTAAAAATCGAAAGAGAAGACCTAAGCAATAAACTTTGCACAGGCATATTAAGATTTTAGCACATATACTTCGAGCAAAAGGCGGAAAATGGCTGACTTGTGCACAGCGATGCCTAGTCACAATTCCTAGAACAGTCAAGCTCAAGCTATATAGGTATCCCTCTGTTTACAGTGGTAATTAGTTCCATGAAGACTTCATAATATGAAAATTCGTAAATCAAAAATTATATTCCCATTACTTTGTATGTGAAATACGCCGACTTGTTCACGAGACTCAGAAAAAAAACAACAACAAATAATTGTATCCAGTGTTTCAATAGCAAATAATCATAAAATGAGGGCTGTAGTGTTTAGGTATGAAATTTATTTTTGCAAATAAAACCCAATTATTTATTCCCGTTTATTTACTCACGCAACGCACGCTTATCTTCCTTGCGAGCGAAGCGCCTCAACCCCACGCCTTCGCTGATAGGAAATAAAACACAGACTGCATGTCCGCGTGTTAGCAGCTACAACAAACGATATTAATTTACTGGAAGATCTGCCAACTGTAGGAACGATCAGTTGCGCAAAAATTATGATAATGCAATGCACAAACATCACAGAGAAGAACATATGACTTTGTCGGTCATTGTATGTATCCGCTTCCCCGCGAGTTGTGCACGTTTTTCTCCGCCTTTATCCCCCCCCCCACAGACACACACACACACACACACACACAAACCCCTTCTTACGAAAGTAAGTTGTTCGTTGTGGCGAAAACACGGTGCGATAAGTGCAAAATAGGTATAAATTCACATGCTTCATTGCAGCGAAAATTCTCAAATCGAGCGTTAGTGAGAAGTGGGATACTCGTACAATAACATCCTAACTGCCTATCTCAGCACAAGCCATAACTCAACACCTCATCTGATCCCCGTATTCAAAATGGGCAACTTGGAGTCACTTAGCTGGTTAATAAATTCCTTGCCCTTATAAACCCTAATTTGCATAACAGTTTTAGTAAAATCCTTCATTTGGACCACATCCCGAGCCAGTTCAGTCAAATTCATATCTACGTAGGTCATTTCAGAAATTATTTTTTTTTTATTTCTCCAATTTATTATACAATCTATCCAGCTATTATGGATAATAAGTACTAGTTATGATGAGTATAAATATAAATGTAATTTAACATGAAGAACGTGTTCCAATGAACTCGTTCTATATGTAATTTAACTAATTATAGTCAACTAGTTAATTGTTTTACAAAATTAGATAGCAAATCTGGTTAACAGTTCTGACGGTTTGAATCTGTGAAGCCTCCTGACTTCTTCTTCATCGTAGAGGTGCGTCGCTAAGGGATTCGGGTGCTTCCGGAGGCGTGCCTGATATTTTTTACTGGAGAGCGTGATTTCCTCGCGTACTGTTGGGATTCCCAGGTCCTTGTGCAGGACGGTGTTTGGTAAGTACCATGGTGCGTTAACTAGTACACGCAGTACCATATTTTGGAATCGTTGAAGAATTTCGATGTTGGAGTTGCTAGCGGTACCCCATAAGGGTATGCCATAGGTCCATATCGGTTTTAGTATAGTTTTATATAATAGGATCTTGTTCTCTGTTGAGAGCTCCGAATGGCGTCCCAGCATCCAATACATCTTGTGGAATTTAGTTCTGAGCTGTGTGCGTTTGGTCTTGATATGTTTTTGCCATGTGAGTCTTTTGTCCAGGTGCATGCCAAGATATTTGGCGTCGTTTGCTTGTGGAATTTGAGAATTATATTTCAGAAATAATGCACACAATTTTTTGTTTACGTCCATGTTTATTTTTTTTAATATCTCTTTACAGTCCTTCAATATAGTCCCCCTGCTTCTCAATGACCGAGTCCCAACGTGTGGGAAGCTTTACTATTCCATACAGGACACCATCTTTCTTTATCTGTCGAATGGCTCGGGTAACTGTAGCAGAAAGTTCTTCCAGAGAGGGAAAACGACGGCCTCGCACAGCTTGTTTCAATTTTGGGAACAAGTCGAAGTCTGGTGGACTCATGTCCGGGCTGTAGGGAGCATGAGGCAGCACCTCCCAACCGTATTGGTGCAGCTTTTCTGTTGCGACATTGCCGATGTGCGGGCGAGCGTTGTCATGGAAAACGATCGGTCCAGCCTCGAGCAACTGAGGTCAGTTTTTGTGCATTTTTCTGCGCAGATTTTGCATAAAGTCACGATAACAAACCGCTGTGACACTCTTCCCGCACGGAACTCTCTCTGTCATGATGATTCCTTGGTGATCATAAACAAAGATCATCATCTGTTTGACCTTTGATTGAGATCGTCGAAATTTTTTTGGTCGTGGGGAAGATGGACCTCACCACTCGGACTGTGATTTCAGCTCCGGTGGATTACTGTCGGGCTTTTTTCCACGTAAAGTTTCGATCTTAATGTACGACCTTTGATCTTCAACAGTCACAATACCCGAGAACCGTGCAGGCTCCATTTCTAACTCAAACTTATTTAAGAATAGTGTACATTATAAATGAAACAGAATAACGCGCTTCTTTCTCAAGCCCCGAACTGTAACGTGAGGCTCACTGTTGTTGCGTCTTCTAATCCGCAGTGTTGCCAACCTGTGCATTACTTATGAAATGACCCACATACATACCAGGTTTTGTATAATCCATATTATTATACTCCCAGACATTATTGCTCAATAACGGTGGTTCAATTAATGGCAAAGGCGAGATTTTTCTTATCGCCTCTCTTCAGAGCAGCTCCACTACATAGTGAGTACCATAAGCCCTTTTCCCTGGTGAGGCCAGATCGTGAAACTTACTACTCACTTCAGTCTATGGCTATGGTCAAGAATGTGTGGAGTTTCACCTCTACCCTCCCATAAGATTTGGGGTGCTTCAATACAGAGGTAGCTTTACCTTTAGCTTTACATCCATGTATTCCTAGGTGTCCGATACATTTCTTCCCTTATGTTTCTATGACTAGTACTCTGTCTCCTTTCCTATGCGCATATTACATATCCTACCCATTCTTTTCACTTTCTCACCTCAAAAACATATGTGAAGAGAATAAATGGAAAATAACTTGCATCCAGTTATTCTCCTAGAAGGTTTTGCACTCACCAGATTTAATACAATATGAAAGCTTATGCATCCCTCTTTCTTAATTTCTATCTTTCTACTTTTCTTTCTTTCATTTCCTCTTTCTTCATCTCCTTCTACCTCCCTTCTGCCTTCCTTCCTTTTCCTCTCCCTCTCACAGAAATGCAAATAATTTTCTTCTGGTAGTTGATACCAATAGAGTATAAAAACTGCATTTAAATTAATTTTCTTCCCACAGTTACAAGTAAACTTGCTTAAAATGTTATATGGTGAAGTTATTTTTCTTGTAAAGTTAGTACGAGTTTTGATACAGCATCACTAAGTGACTCCATCAAATTGTGTTTTGTTAGAGATAACTGATTACCACCTGAAGACAGTAAATTTCTCCCATTCCAATTTTATTTGCATAACAATTCTTGAATCTCAGCAGCTTTTGATATTACTTATACTACTATTTAAAGTTAATTTAAATTAGTATTGTTGTTATGCTGTGAGTATTATATACAGCATAATATTATTTCTATAAAACATATGCAGCAATAAAGATGTATAGCATCCCATCATTATACAGCTGTGTAATACTTACAAAGATAACTTGGATAATTTATTGACTCTTCCAGCATGAATCTGAAGTTGACATCCTTGTCATCAAAGGCATCATACACATAAACATCAAAGGGAATATACAGCTTCATGTCAGCATGTGGTTTCTGCTGTTCTGCAGACAGATGCTGTACATCTGTTTTATGCAACTCCTTCATTTCCTGTGGCCTGCAAGTGGCATCAGACAAGCTGGAACATGTCTTCATCATAGTAGCCATTAGCGCCTGCAGAAAAGTGCCAGACAAAGATTAATATGGAAATGCAAAAGAGAAAATGTGAAGAAAGTCATTTAGACGTTATTCTGGGCAGCATACAGTGATGACTAAGCAATTTATACTAAACGATTTTATGAAATAAGAGTTCAAAAAGACTGGTAGACTGAGAGATGAATATAAGTAGCAGATTTCCCATTGGGAAGCTGATAATGTTTGGGAGAGCCAAGGAAGCTCCTGCCTATAAAGGAACCTGGAAGTCTGTCAGTTTTTTTTTTCTTCAAAAGATGGCTCTGCTGGATCATATTGTGGGCCCATTTATCAGTCCACACCTTCACATGCTATTTCTTTGCAATCTGTCTTTTATATTATCCTTCCATTTCCTACAAAATAGCATATTCATTTCCCTTCTCACCATGTTTCTCCCATCTCATCTTTCTTTATTTGATCACCTTAATAGTATTTGTTCAAGAGTATAAATTATGAAACTCCTCAATATGTAATTTTCCAGATTCTATAGTTCCTTCCTCAGTTTTAAATCACATTTTCAAGGCATGTGAATTTGGCCTGTCATTCTAACAGAATGGTATAGATTGGGAGTGGCTGACAGCAAATGCTGAAGAGAATGTTAGAACATCAGAGAGAGGGAGTAACAGGAGGATGACTTGATAATTTATGCTGTTTGTCAAATGGAGCATGTAACATATTTAAGGGAGCTGAGAAATACATATGGCACTTTCATCAGAGAACTTCAAGGGATGAAACCACCATAACATAGGTGACATGAGTTAAGATAGTAGAAAAATATTGAAATCAATATTATTGTATTACAGTGTATAGGTGTGGACAGAATTGAACTAAATCAAAAGAGGGTAAAATGGTGGTTTTTTTACACTAATGAACTTCTGGTGTTGGTAAGATATGGAGTATTGTTGATTGTCTGAACAATTGTAATATTTTTAAGAAAGATTTTGAACCATGGAGTTCACAATGTATGCACTAGTGTATGTTTACAATGCCTGAATTATGTCAGGCACAAATTCCCGTAGTTAATCTGTTGCCATCTTATTACTGTGAAATGTAATCAGTCATGTTCACTGAAATGAATGTCACTAATATTTCTTTGTTTCCAGGGTAAAGAATTTTAAATTCATCTCAGTTAAAAGTTGCATACAATTTAAACACAATACTTAATTTTAAAGTCACATGATTGATGGTGCTCATATTGCTCCCAACCCAGAAATGTGTAATATATGATTATGTTGGTACAATTAAAAATTAAAGGAATATGATCACATCAAACATCATAAAATTCATAAAATACCAAGAAACCAAAAGTTTTGTCAGAAATTATGTAAGATTAACAGGAGCACCAACATAGTGAAATGGCCCTAGATTTTTTATTCTACAAATTGGAAAAGATTTTTGGCAAACTATGAGAATTTCCACAATATTCTGAACCATTTGCAATTACATAACCTATTGTTCTCACATAATTTCTTGAGAGACACTCAAGGATCATAAAACTTGCAGTTACAGAATGAGGATTACTTACATTTAAGGAAGATTTGGTAGCTTCATTGAATTCATGAGGTAGAATGGCACCATCATAGACAAGAAATGCTTCCTGATGAAGATTTTTACACTGATCATGACCTATGACCATTAACCAGTATGATGATATTGCCTGATTCGCACTGATAACTATGTCATATCGTTCACCTGCCAAAGAATTTTACAGCTAAGATTTCAGGTTCTCAAGTAAGTGACTTGTCTTTTGGTATGTGACACTTGTAATTTGGTAGATGTCCTGAAGACTGAGGACGGAGACAGCACATTCCTCCAAAATTTCCTTAAATATCTATCACAATACATGATGTCACATCCCAGAAGGCAGTAGTTTTCAGACTTAAGAAAGTTATAAATATATGGAAAATGAGATTAACATCATAGCCATAAGAACAGATCATAATGACAAATATGGCTTCACTAAAGATATCAGTCTTGATATACATCAAACATTGTCCTTTAAAGAAAAATCTACACTGAAATTGACCTGTCATCACAGATAAAGTAATTAGGTATTCACAGTCAGTCAGATGTTCTCCCATGAGACAGAGATAGAAGGTGCATCTATTTAGTTGAGATCTCACTATTCCTACTTGATAAATTGATTGAAGCATATGTTACCAAGATCAGCTTCAAAAAGCATACAGAATCTGCCACTAATATTGGGTGCTGTATAGGAGGAAATGGAATAGAGGGAGATTTATGCACATGGACCCTCTTGTATGCGTTTGCAGTTTCAGTAGCTATGGATATATGTCTATGAATCAATGTGCATACTAGTATCCTATTGGGGCTTCTCTTTGAACACAGGTTACTGTGCAGAAGGAAAAATTGTTATCTTAAAATCTGATGAGCATTAATTTATTCTACATGCTGTTCACACAGCTGCATAGGATGCCTTTCAACCCAGTACCAGGAATTCTGCTTATTGATGTACAGCTCAGGCGATCAGGGGCACCGTCACACAAAATTATCAGATTTAATACATCTGCATTGTTATCCAAAATTTCCAAAATCAGGAATTTGGACATGCCATTATTTTGATGTTCAGTAACTTGAATTTTGTTAAGTCCAGTAACTCAAATCCTTGCTCAAATTTCATTCAAGAGTCGTGTTTGAAATTTCTAAGGTCACACATTTAGTCAGAGGAAATTTGTTACACTGCAATCTTCACGCTTTCGATGTTCTCTGGTGTGCGTACTGAATGCACACCAAATTTTGAAGTTGCAGAAACACAGAAATTAATCTCTTTAAAATGTTATCCCATTTTGAAAAATCGTCCATTCCTCCACAAGTGAAATCCTAGCTTAATATCATCTCCATCTGCACACTAGACTACGTTCGAAAGAAGTCTCAACAAAAAAAGAAAAGGCACACTGATGATTCGCATACAAATTGCGCTACTTCATTTTCCTTTTCACAGCAGAGAATTTTAAAATATTCCACCCCAACTTCTGGTCGTGCGTCTTTCACAGCATAAATTCCAAAGAAATTATGTACAAAGGTGAAGCTATCCCTGTAAGAGGCCGTGAAGGCCCGTAGGGTTGTGGGACGTCGAGGCTCCCACATCGTCTAGAAAATCGGCTCACAGATGGGGGCGAAGTTATCCGCCTTATGCTCCGGCCGCCCTTTACCACCCAGGAATTTCTGGTACTCATTTTTGTTAGAGGCTGAATCGACTCCAGGACCATAGTGCGGCTGGAAGGATTAGGTCAATTAAAAAACCCTACCTCATCGGGAATCAAACCCACGACTTTGTGGCTTGTAGCATAGTACCTCAACCAACTACGCTACCGCGTGCCCCAAGAAATTATGTAACAGTATGAAAAACTTCACTCTTATCCAACTACAAGGAAGAGCCAGCTGTTGCAGATTCCATTTCAATTTTACAAATATTACTTAACGCAATATTACATCAGGATAATAATATCTGGAATTGCCAAATGTCCGTGACAAGTACTTTTCATTGCGTCACTGAATAATAGCAGAAACATCTGCACAAAAAATGAACCTGTAACCAAAGCACCAAATAAAATTATGAAATTATATATCTTTCCAAAATTTATCGAATGTGGTGCCAATGTCAAATATGCTTGCACATAATTCGACTGCTTCGGTCTTTCACAGAATAATCCTAAATAATATCCATATCAGCATCAAACATCTGTAACTGTTAACATCTACATTCAGCTTGAAAAATCTGCGATAATAAACCTGTTTGAATAGAGCACAATATTTCTAGATTAAATTAACAAATTATAAAGACTTTACTGAAGTTTACTTCCAACCAATTCAACATATTACGTATTCAATTATATATATAGTATGTATGTACATGTATACTCGTATTTGCACACGTTTATTGTAAGACACTTGGTTCGAGCTGCAGCCATCAATCAACCCCATGCATACTGGAGGAAGAACAACGATCAAAACAAGGCAATATGACTCTCATAATAATAATAATAATAATAATAATAATAATAATAATAATAATATGGTTGGTGATCGTGGCGGTGGTAGGGGCATAGGTAGTAATGTAAGTAGTACTTGTCTTGGTGGTAATAGTAATAGTGGTGGTAGCAGCAATATTTGTAGCAGAGACAGTAACAACTGTAGCAGTAGCAGTGGTAGTAGTAACATAATATTACATAGTTCATACCTGGAAATAACAAGAGATGCGAAGCAGTTGTGGGCTTCACGGGTACTCCGTCCGTTGCAATGATAGTCAGTTCATGCCCCTCCACTTGAAGTTGAATTGGGCAGTCCAAAGATGCGGCGTTTATGACACGAAATCGGTATCTGTCACCCCATTTAACTAAAAATCTGGTTTTCGGTATATGGTTTCTTGTTCTTGATTCTGGGTTCTGTTGTAATAAAATATAATTAGAGATAGAAGCTACTTGACATCTAAAGCACTCGCTAGATATTCCGTGAGAACCGGTAATAGATTTCTGGTGAAAGAGGTTAGATTTCAACGTAAAAATGTTGAAATTTTGTAAAATCCGAGGTTCTCACAGAGTTGGTTGTGAAGAGTTATAGCTTCTTAGGCATAATGCCGTGTAGTACGTTGAAAGTCAACAGAATTTTCGGAGGAATATTTCTCCTCCATTTCAGGATCGAAGTTTAAGCCAAGAAATAAACCAGGTAGAAAGCGGAGCCTGCTCTTCTTGCTTCATTCTTCACGCCAGTTTCCTGCATGGCTTATTTTTGGACCCTGAATATCCTGCTTAGTTTATTCTTCGATCCTGAAGATGGAGGTGACATTCCTTCCAAACGTCGTCTGATTGTCAGAGAACTACACTGCGTTATGTTCCAAAAGACACTACTCCTCAGTGTCCAAAGTACGTATAACTGTATAATGCTGCACAAATAACAAACTTTATAGTATATAGAACAAGCTAGGTTAATATTGTTAGGATATTCGTGTCATTATAAGATTACAAAATAAATGTCTCTTGGCAAAACACATCAATTAACGGATCATTTATTATGCAGTATAATTATACTGTTAAAAGAAGCTTGCTAACACAAATTTCATTGTGTGCAGGAACAGAGCTGATCTACTGAGCACAAAATTGATCGTATATCACTTCTTTTTTTCATTGGCGCTACAGCCCTCATTTGGGCCTAGACCTACCTCCATGAAACTCTCCGTTTCAGTTCGGTTTTATTAGATCTTAAGACATACGGCAGGACTCCTTGGGCGGGTGATCAGCTCGTCGCAAGGCCTCTACCTGTACACAAACACATCCATGTCCTGAGTGGGATTCGAACCCACGATCCCGGCTTCGGAGCGAGCGAAGACAGTGCATGCCTTAGACCGCTCGGCTACCGTATATCACTTTTACGGTCATAAATTTTCTAATATTTTGTACGTATTTCTTTGAGCTAGAAAGTCGAAAAGGATTATCCAGATGCATAAAACCTGCTTGCGAGACGCTAGAGTGTTTCTTTATTCTAGGTCAGCTTAATAAGATCTTGCAGAACTATGATGAACAAATGAGTGGCGTAATCTTTGAAGTACCAGAGAGTAATAAAGGGTTTTGTGGTCCATAATAATGTTTTTTATTTAACACTCTACCTGGCCTCCCCTTTCTCCTTTCTTAGCACATGGCTACGTAGTAGAGATCACTGACAACTCCTGGCCAATAAATGTACCTAGAATGAAAATCCTTCTCCAGTAAGTAGAGCAATATTTTACTGATGCGAATTATAGTGTTCACTTCCTGGCCGCACGGAAGTAATATGCAAGCAGTGGAGCATCATTCACTGCTAGAAAGACTTTCACTTTCACCACTTTTGAAATTATCAAGCTATGAATAACATACGACCACCTCTGTTGTCTAGTGGTCAGAGTTCCTGCCTACAGATTCAGAGGTCCCGGGTTCGATTCTCGTCGCTACTCGATTTTCTGAGAAGTAGTGCGTCTGGAACGGGGTCCACTCAGCCTCGTGAGGATAATTGAGGAGCTATTTCAAGGAAATAGCGGCTCCGGTCTAGAAAACCGAAATTTACGACCGTGGGGATTCGTTGCGACACACTCTATCCGCTGAAGTTGGCAATAACTTCACCGACAAGCGGCGGTCGCTCGGTCGGTATACGAGTAGTTGGCTTGCGGACTCAAGCCATGGAGTTTAGTTTATGAACAACATACAATAAAACCTCTTCAGAAAACCATCCCTTTAAAACACCATATTTGTTTGGCACGGATTGTAGTTTAGGCAGTTTTAGTGTAATGCAACCCCTTTTTCAGAGACAACCCTTATATCCTCTAAAAAGGCCATCTCACAACGGAAATTTCGGTCCACGGCCTTTGGTACACCAGTGTCGTGGAGAACAACGTAACTACATACCTGACACAANTGTCTACCAGGTTAAGATAACGACCTTCAACACGTGAAAGCCCGCATAAGGGGCGCTGTGGATACAGTAACTCCAAACATGCTTCAAGTATGGATATTTGTCGTGCCACCAAGGGAACCCACATTTCAATTTATTGAGAAAGTTAAATACGCAGAAAATCTTTGTTAGTTTCCCTTTGTAATGGTGTAACCCATTAATGTGTATAATAAATTCTTTCTGAGGTATAACGATTTTATTTTGGATACCTTTCATCCGGACACTCTATATATCGTTGCAGTTGTTACAAAATACATAAGTGTGGTGTTTATTATATCATTACTCAGATTCTCACCCATCCCCCCCCCCATTCCGAGACCACCTCTATAAAAGACGACTTATGGGCGGAAAGGTCAGTGGTTTTCTCGGAGATGTATCACTGCAAATCCTTTTTATATCTGTCTTTCGTGTGCTGCATTATCAAGGAGAAGAAATTGTCCTGTCACCCCTTGAAAAATCATATTAATGTTTTGCAACATTTCATGTATTTTCAGACAGACGGTAACAGGTAACAGGAGTGAGCCGTTCAGTCGTTGAATTCGGGGAGGAGGAATGAATACAAGTTAGGGTTTATTTCGTGCATCCTGTTGTGTTATTAAATACAATTTCTTTATTAGAGTCCGTCACAACACAACAGCATAAAGGTCAAGGCCAAGCCAAGCTCATTTTAGCCTTGACCTTTATACTGACGGACTCTAATAAAGAAATTGTACAAAATAGGTTCTTTGCATGAGCATGGGGATATACTTTATAACCCTTAAAGAGAAAACGAAGCTGATCAAATTAAAACTGTTACGACTGTACAGCTAAATTCAAAGTCTCAGTTTCTTGGATGATACACTAATAATAATAATAATTAAAAGTAATAGTAAGAAAAAATTAAATTACCCCTGTAACAGGCCGTGGAGGCCCACAGGGTTGTGAGATATTGAGGTTCCCACATTATCTAGACAATCGGCTCATAGATGGCGGCAAGGTTGTCAGCCCTACGCGCCAGCCGCCCTTTACCCTCACGAATATTCCAAGAACAATCCTGGTACTCATTTCTGTTAGAATTCTGTAAATTGAAAAAAAAAATCCAATGACCTCATCGGGACTTGAACCCGCGACCTTCCGGCTTGTAGCATAGTGCCTCAACCAACTACGCTATCGCGTGCCCCTAATAATAATAATTAATACAAGATAAATATTTCGTAATAAATTTACCTAAATTGATGGGAGAAATATAATTTGAGTGTATATATATTTAAGTATATTTGTTCACGTGAATTTACAGAATGAGAAATGAGTCTGTTATGAATACTTGGAATGAGCTAAAGGAATAATTATTTAAAAAATATTTACTACAACACAATTAAGAATAACATGGACAAATATCAGGTCAGCAATTATATAAAACTGATAAAGTAATTTCTATTACTGTTTTAACAGAAGGCAAATGCCTTCTAAGAGGAATATAAATATATATGTAAAATATTTTAAAAACTTGTAAATATATCAATATATCAACTGCTATACGGTTTAATATTGAGATACTTTACTGCAAATATAAATTAAATTGCTTAATACCACAGAGGTAGAACTGGTGAACAACTGACCTTCATAACAGTAAAGCAGCTTCTGATATGGTCTCTTAAGATGGAAGTAGGTAAATGTTTTGTGTAATTAAATAAATTAGTCGCGCTCGATGGTGGTGGTGTTTGATGTATTATCAGATTATCTCTTCAGGCATATTTGTTGTTGACAAGCTTACAGTGTTTGATGATAGCGTCAAGTGACAGCAGTTGAACCTGAATAGTAATTTAAAATTTAATTGCATTTTTTAAGCTAGAGCCAAACCAAATTTCGGATCAATGGTGAAACCCAAACACGGAACAGACCGGACCATAACGTGCTGACTCAGACCTCTTGCGCCGTTGGTCATACTGAGTACTGGTGGAATGCTGACTGGCAGAAGAAACAGTACGCTTGTCTACCTTATCCTTAAGTCATTATTCTAACAGTATCTGTACCGGTTGATCTGCAGGGAATATGGAGCTAGGAAAGAGGTCATAGCCTCACAGGCCGATAATTTGCATAGAAGCACTGATGTGTGCTAACAACCACACCGTGATATTTGGTAAACATAATTAACCTACTGACGTATTTTGACGAATGCAGGACATATGTTTATTTGAATGATGTTGACAACTTTCACGGATGCAAATTATGACCAATTTGAAAGGAAAACTTTTCAATTACCATAAAACAGATGCCACTTTTCTTTATGCGAGCTTTGTCATAATTCTGAAGTACCGACTTCAGAAGGCTTGAATTAAATCTGTAATTTATTTTGAGTAGACACTTTAAAACGCCATGTCGATGGTTTCTTTTAAAGAGAACGCTGGTCTACGTGCAAACATACTCACGAAATGGCTGCCCTCTCCATTGATAAGTACTGACGATACTTCGATGTCTTCCTGTGACTCTAAATCGTATGTAAGAGCTTTGTGTGACCAGGGAGAAACGATCAGGACATGCTCGTCAAGGTCATAATCGTAGAGGTCAGAATTAGGGTCACGTTGAGGAGACTGTCGTACAATGAAAGGGCCGAAGATCCCGTCTGCGTGATGAGAAACTGAAAGGAAATTAATGTTATGTAGACATAAAAGTGACCATTAGAATGATCAAGTCAAGGAGGATGAGGTGGGAAGGTCATATAGCACGAATGTGGGAGAAGAGGAATGCATATAGGATGTTGGTGGGAAAGCCAAAAGGAAAGAGACCACTGGGAAGACCAAGGTGGGTGGACAATATTAAAATGGATCTTAAGAGATATAGAATGGGATGGTATGGATTGGATTGATATGTCTTAGAATAGGGACTAGTGGAGGGCTCTTGTGAACACGGTAATGAACCCTCGGGTTCCATAAAATGCTGGGAAGTTCATGAGTAGCTGCAGAATTGGCGGTTCCTGAAGAAGGGCTCAGCTCCACGAGGAAGTAAGTAAGACATGACAGTGACATGAATAGGGACCAGTGGAGGGCTCTTGTGAACACGGTAATGAGCCTTCGGGTTCCACAAAATCCTGGGAAATTCTTGAGTGGCTCCACAACTGGCGACTTCTCAAGAAGGGCTCAGCCCCATGAAGTTAGTTAGATATAATGGTATGTTTGAAAACAGAATATATCTTTCCATTGCGTTTCTTTGTTGTGTGATTATAAAACTTAGCCAGTTCTCTTTGGTAATGATATAAATAAAGTGTATTTGAAACTAACCAACCACCTAACTAATTCCATGACACGATTTCCACAACCAGTGACTGTCGCTCTCCTGTTCACGAAATGTGTCTGATTTAACGCGTCACAAGAGCCCACTACCGCATTCTATTCGAAGCCAGATGAATCCAGTCACCCTAATACACTATTTCAAGGAGATGTATACATTGATATTATACTTGTGTCTACGTCTAAGCTTGGGGCCACACGAGAGCACAAAATGCGTCCGTTGTAACGAACGTCGTGACGTCCGTTGTAGAAATAAACAAGAGAGGCGAATGCTACGCTTTCTTCTGGCTTCATTGCAGACAAAAAATTACGCACCGCATTATGCAACTGTGTGGTGCCCTCAGCAACGTCCGACATAAAGTACTTTCGTTGCAACGGACGTGCTTCGTGCGCTCGTATGGCCCCAGCCTAAGACCTCCACATGGTCTCTGCCTTTTTGAGGTTTCCCCAGCAAATTTTTATATTTATTATATTCTCATTATATTATACGCCCTTCCAGTCTCAAGTTCCTTGGACAAGATTCTCCATCTCTCTGTTATATCCTCTTACTTAGATCCAAATGTTCTCCACAGCATAATTTCGGACTGAACATTCAAAATTATCTCATGTTTGCATTCCACAAACTACGCAGCTGATACTGAATCATTTAATAATCTGAGATATTGAAATATTCCAATAATGACATAACAAAAGCTATGAACCGTAACATGTAGTAGTTAGAAAATATATTCCTTGATAAAATATGGCGTGCCTCATATGAGAGTGCTTTCTCCGTGACTGTAGCAGGCCCATATATACTCGTAACTAATCAGCATTTATTTCCACCGAAATGATGGTAACACATTTTAAATCTAATTAATTGCATTATACGAAGGAAGGGAACTAAAGTGTATGCATATAGGTCTGTTTAAAAGGCAATGAAATGGGAAATGAACAATGGAAGAATACATAAAAGAACAAAGACATGTTCATACATGCATTTGCATATATGCAAACCTATTAACCTCGGGCTGGCTTATTCGGCAGTGACGCAAGAAGAGACAGAGAAAGAAGGGCTTTAAAAATGTATGTTCTTAGAAGATTATTTGGTTCTGAGAGACAGGACGTGACAGGAAGTTGGAGAGAGCTGGAATACGATGACTTTTATAATTTGTACTCTTCACCAAATATTATAAGAGCAATCATGTAATAAGACAAAGAGATACATGGAACAGACGAGTAATTTATACAAAATTATATTCAAATTTTTAAGGGAGAGAATTATATCGAATGATATTAAAATGGATTATACGGAAATAAAAAGTGCTTGTGCGTGGATTGTATTCATCTGATTCAGAATAAGGCCCAATGGTGAGCCCTTGTAAACACGATAATGGACGTTCAGTTTCCAAGTGCAATGCATTTCTTGACTAAGTGACTATCAGCTTTTCATGAAATAGTTTTTCCCTGTTCTCATCATAGGAATTATCACCTTCTGAGAAGCATTATGGCTATGTTCCTAATAATAAATACACCATTTAACCAGTACTTACCATAATGAGAATGGTAGAAGTGAGTTCCGGCGTTGGAAGCACGGAATTTGTAGCGGAAACGGGTCTCGCTCTGTATGGGGCACTGTGTAATCATAGGGACGCCATCCATGTACGGAGAACCCCGCTGGAGTTGCCCATGCCAGTGCAGGGCCGTCTCCAAGCCGCGCAGGTGACTCGTCACATCCACAACGACTATATCTCCCTCGCAAACCTGCAACCAAGCGCATCTGCTACTATGCACTGACACGGTCTGCAGGACCCCAAAACATGTTTCGGAAACTGTCTCAAGCGTAACAACGAAAAATTATCCTTGAGGTAAATCTGACAGATAGTTACTATAGGATTCTGACGATGGTGTATAACACACTGATATGTTGGGTTTTTTGGACTTTATCCATTGTCCTGGTTTTTAAGATAACAAATAAAAACACGACGTTTCGGAAACTGGATCTGTTTCCGTCCTCAGGTGAAGGAAAACACCTGACCCAACTGAATAGGTGTTTTCCTTCACCTGAGGACGGAAACAGATCCAGTTTCCGAAACGTCGTGTTTTTATTTGTTATCTTAAAAACCAGGACGATGGATAAAGTCCAAAAACCCAACATATCAAATCTGACAGAGCCTGATGTTGACAACTTACGCCTATCTAGCTCCAAGGATAAGAACAAGCCGCGTCAATGAATCGGGCGATTTTAAAAACGTTGTGAACAGAAAACTATTGCATTTATTGGTTTTAACAAACCCCGACAAATGGAAATGAGCTTCATCGCTCATCAGTAAGTTGTTAACGACATCTTGGTTTTGATTAATTAATTGCAAAAAAAGTCTGGCAGAAATCAACTATTGTTTTCATAGTCGCGTTCTTGTAGCGCAGGAGTAATTTGAATTTTATAGGGGTAGAAGTGGAGATAGCCGGTCACGGTAGCCGAGCGGTCTAAGGCATGCACTGTCTTCGCTCGCTCGGAAGCCGGGATCGTGGGTTCGAATCCAACTCGGGGCATGGATGTTTAGTTTGTGTGTGTGCGTTTTTCTGTGTTTGTGTACAGGTAGAGGCCTTGCGACGAGCTGATCACCCGCCCAAGAAGTCCTACCGAATGTGTAAGATCCAGAAAAACCGAAGTGAACGGAGAAGTTCATGGAGGTAGACCTAGGCCCACTGGGGCTGTAGTGCCAAGGAAAGAAAAATAAGTGGAGACCTTTGTGCAAAATCCGTCAAACGCTGGCTTCGGACAGCCCGAGTGATGTGGCGTGGCGACGCGCAGACCGGCGTGGACTTCGTTCAATGGCTTCTCTCACTGCCGCTACATTCTCGGATGTACGTGCTGTTTCTACGATACCACCTTTCTTCTTTAGTGTAGAATCAGTAGCCTCAAAATTTTGAACCCAGGTCTTAATGGCATGGGCAGATGGAACAGCACGATTGCGATGAATACCGAACTCTCTTCGAACCACAAAACTGTCACCGTTTTGTAAAATGCTTTCACAGCAAGAGCATGTTGTGCTCCAGTCCACGGCTCCATTGCACCTAAACGCTTTAAAGTAGGCTGCTGGATGGCAGTATTAGCATCCTCTCCACTCCAATCAATCCAGGAAAAATCACCACTTCCAAATCCCCCGATTCATTGACGCACTCTGTACATGTGCAGCTTTCCGTGTATTCCCCACCCTTCCTTACGGTGTCTTAAGCACATAGGCAACTTTGTGTATAAGTTCACTTGTACTTGTGCTTAACTAATTACTAAGAAATGAAGATTTATAGAGGAGTAGAGGTATAGCTGACACATTCCTAACCCTTGCGCTAGATGGAGATTAAGTGGTCAGCTTCACTCCCGGGTCACTTAATTGCATATATAACTGTTCATATATACATACGTACTTTAGCAGATCCAGAACGAGTAGAATGTTGTGTTAAAAAATGTAAAGCTATCCCTGTAGCAGGCCTAGGGGGACCATAGATTTGTGAGACGTCGAGGCTCCCACATTTACTAGAGAGTCGGCTCATAGATGGCAGTGAGGTTGTCAGCCTTACGCGCAGGCAGCTCTTTAACCTCAGGAAGATTCCTGGTACTCATTTCTGTTAGAGGCTGAGTCTACCCCAGGGCCATAGTGCAGTGGGAAGAAGTAGGTTAATTATAAAATCCAATGATCTCACTGGGAACTGAACCCGCGACCTTCCGGCTTGTATCATAATATCTGAACTAACAACGCTACTGAGTAACTGAAGGAAGATGCAGTAAGAATTGTGGACGGGCTTACCCGCACAGCAGTTCCTGGAAGTTCCCCATTCACAGAGAGCATTACTCTCTGTACTCCGTCTGCAAGAGAACAGTGGCGCTCCACACACTCGGTGTCATTTCCCGGACACTTCGAGCATCCTCTAGAAGAAAAGTCAGACCCAGTGTACAAATGAAATAGGCAAATAGTACACTGATTCAAGCCTAGGAATATTTTTCCTTTTCTGAAAGGAGATGAACATAGAGTGTTTTCACACTTCACGAGCGACAATTCATTCGGTGCTTCGTGGTACGTACGAGTATATTCATGTTCACTAAGGATCCATCCTGAAGTGTTTGTTAAGCGTTAAATGTAAATTCGTGCCGATAGAAATGAAATAATCGTATCTACGATCACTAGAAATATGCATGAATTCTGACAGAATACTGAATAAAAAAGTATGAAGAGCAAACATTGAAGACATTTTAAAGCCATGGCCAAATATTTAAATGTAAACATTGCTGGAAACAACATTTACAAATAATTATAACGAGTAACGTATCAAAAAATATGCTGAATTATAAATCTGGAACCTCCAAACAAATATTTATTAACCTACATTAAACTGGGTTTGGAGGCTGTGGATTAATCCTCGGATATCCCTGACCTTAGTAGCTCTGGTGTGTCCAGCATTAAGACTAGATTATGTTACACGTATCTTAGGAAAGTTCGTTTCCAACGGCGCCACAAGTACGAAGCCAAGTTTTCATTGCGTCTCACCATAAGCTGTAGTGTAGTTCAGATTCTGCTAGAAGCTGGCAGCGAGAGAATGTTACTTTACTTGAAGAATAATGTACTCTGAAGTGTGACGCCGTGAAGTCTAGTAGAATCTTATATACCTACGTTTCGAAATAAGGTACTGATTCTATCCTCGGTATGAAGTGTAAGCGAAGCGAGCGAGGTAGCAAGTAGCAAGAAGAAACTATTCATACATTCATATATGTTTTCAAAGTATCCAGTTAAGCCAATATTGATAATACATGGAATTGATCTGGGTGGCGAGTGAACCTACAGAATCTACACACATTTTCACAGACTCAATTCTTTCAGAAGAGATCAATTTTATAGTTAAGTTCCTAATTTATATTTCTTCAAGTAAAACAGATCTACAATCTTAGTCTGACAATAAGATGTATAAGAATATTTGCGAAGATTTTGTTGAGTGCTGGCCATGCGCTAAACTTGTGGGCATTAATGTACCTAGGTTCCTTGAATTACCCCTACGAAACGCTGGTGACCACCCACAAGACTACACCATGGCGTACTTAGAAGAACAGCAACGCGATTCTTCATCGCAGTGTGAACCTCTAATTTTATTATCTCCTTGTAAGTTATATTCAGCGCTTCTTTAAGAATATTCTCACTTGTATCAGTGACTATGGACGGCGTTTGGATGGTAAAAAGATTTATTGGCCGCTTACAGGTGTAACTATAATTAATTATAGCATTAATATTGATATCCACAATACATATCACTTCACTCTTAAGTCTTCTCAGTCTACTTGCAATAGTCTTTACTTCGTAAGAGCTCTCCAAAACGACAATTCCTCTGCAATGTCTTCACTAGACCTTTCCTGGTACAGAATTTTAGTTTCCGTCGTCCGCTTGTTAACACTCCACAGCTGAGCCCTTAACTGAACTCCTGTGCTATTGTTCACCTCTCGTTATCTAGACTCGAGTCAGAACTCAAGGAAAACACGTGTCAAGTGTCAGTATGCGTACCTACTAGCCCGTTACTCAGCACTAGGCATGGCGCGGACCACATTTAAAACACTTCTGTTTTTATGATGCGTGTTCATTGGCCCGTTGCCTAGAACTGGTCATGGTCCGGACCACACAGAAAACACTTCTTCCAATACCTTTTCTATTATTGCGTACGCGTATTTCTGGCGCAGTTCAGAAACTGATCTCCATGACACTATGTTTGTCGGTACTTTCATCCTTAGCCTTAGCGTCAAGGAATAGACATACACGTACAATGCACCGGCAGAGATGCAGCCGATACACATGAACTGTTTGCTGCTTCCGGTCATCGAAGAGCACGGAAAAAAAAGGCAGTGGCTGTAACGCGCTGAGATAACGTCGCTTATTCCTTAGTTACATTATGAATATGATGTCACGTGTTTGGAATTCAGAAGGGCTACTTCCACGGAAACGCTAGAACAGACCTTTGCGTAGGAAGTAACAATAGCAGTATTGTAATTCTAACAGTGAGTTTCCACGGTTACAACAGAAGTTTCACTGCGTACCAACGGCCGCAGATTATAAGAAGGTAATGCATTCGCCGAGACAGTCTTGGGACAGTCGCAGTTGAAGACAGTTGAGATCCAGCCACGGTCAGAGACAGCTGGAAGATAGCCACAGCAGAATGCAGTTGAAGTGATACTATTTGTATTTGAGTGTGCAAGAATAAATGTATTCGCTAAATCTGAGACCTACGTGAAGTTATTTGGCGCGTGATATACCCAAAACGTGACAACATGTAATCTAACTCATAGTGAGATACGCTAAGCTAGTCTAACAATTTCTGGTATCAGTATTACCTGTTGACTGTAAGGCGAGGTTCCAGCACAAACTTGAAGTAGCATTCCTTAGCCTTCCGTCCATCCAAACAAGGCCGAGAACAACTTGTCGACTTCTCTGCACATAACATCATATATGAATTAATCTCACAGAGCCCAGTCCTTGTTAAGGTGCCGAGAGTCGCTCATAGTCTTAGGAAACCCCTGCCTCTGAAGGGCCCAAAAATTCACCACTGAGGCCCCCCAATTGGATGAATTCAATGCGTACATTTTCATCCTATTTCTTAATGGTTCATTTCAACATTGTCTCGTCTATCCCCAGGTCTTTTTATTTGAAGTTTCTGTTACGAGTTCACAACAAATGGTCACAGATATTTTTTATAATTTTTAGTTATTATTCCGAAATTTTTAACCCGGATTTCTTAATTTGTTATTCATAGTAGTCAGAATCGAGTGATACGCCAAAATGCGTAACTCACCGAGCTGTTCCATCCGCACGCCACCACGACTGAGCTTCACAGCAGAAGGCCTGATAGAGATGGCCGGCCAGTTCAGCATGAGGAAAGTCCCGGCGAGCAGCAGCAGTGCCGTCACATTAGGCAACACCAACAGCAGTGGCCCGCCTGGCTTCCAGCACCTCGCACCCATGCTGAACCTAGCCTTCAGCATCCAAATTAAACAGATCAAATTTATTTATTCAATTGCTTATTTAACGACACTGTCAGTATTTCAGACTATATAGCGTTGAATAATGGGATGTAATGAATAACGAATAGGAAAGATTTGGGAGGAAACGGTCCTAACCTAATACCAGGTATTTCACTTGAGTGACTGAAGAAAACCTCGAAGAGCCTCAATGAGTATAGCTGGTGTCTCAGAAGAGATTCGAAGCTGTCGCCTCTCACACGGAAGTCAAAAATGTCACTGCATGGTGCAGCCTGCTCCATAATGAAACTCAGTTTTGTACACTTCTATCCTTAGGTTCCTATTAGGATAAAGAAATAACTATTCTACATCAGCAGTAACAGCCATTCCTTAATCTTCTTCGTGAAAGGAATTTTGATTTTATTATATTTCAGCATCCTGTTGCATTGTTTTTAGATGTAAATGTTCCGTCTGGAATGCAACAAAGTCAACCTTTTATAAAAGACAATATATTTCATACATTAAAAGATTTTGTTGAATATTTTGATTTGTTACTGGAGTCATCTTTTGAAAATTGATACATTTTCCAAGGAGTTATTATCGGTCTTTACAAGGAATGGTGGAAATTTACCTCCACTCCCACATGCATCATTCTGGCGTGGTTTTTAAGTAATTACGAGGAGGATTAATTTTACCTTTATACGAGTACAGTACAATATTATGGCTCGGCCTGCATTCTGTTGTCGAAAAAAGAAGCAGTCATTAATGAAGTGGGCGGTTACTGAACTGCATGTGCTTGAAGTAGTTTAGTTCCTGAACTACCATCACAGCATGTACTGAAGTGGCATAATGTGTTAAGTAATTAAAAAGTAGATATACCGGAAACTTCCAACCAGTTGTATAAACCTGTTGAATAGGTACAACCCTCAAACACTTTCCCTTCCTCTAATCCAAAAACTAAGAGTTTTGCTGTTGATTATACCTGCAGGTTTGGTCTTCGATCATCTTGGCTTCTGACCACACGGCCAGAGCCACGTAAAAATAAATTTGTCCATGCTCGTAATTCATTAAGCACCGCGCCATGAAGACGTATTCATTCATTCATTCATTCGTGGCTCTACAGCCCCTTGTCGGGCCCTGGCCTCTTCTTCAGTTTCGTAACCTTTTTTACACAGACGGAAGGACTCCTTGGACGAGTGAGCAGCTTGTCGCAAGGCCTCTACATACACACAGGAGAAAACAGACAGAAGAAGAGCACACAGATAAATCCATGCCTCGAGTGGGATTTCAATCCACGATCCCAGTGTTCGAGCGAGCGAAAACAGCTCATATCTTATACCTCGCGACCACTATGATCGGCCCATGAAGACGTGTGGGGAAGTGGAATTATAACTGCACCTTCCTTTATCTCGGTACTAGGTAAAGAGGAGTGGTCAGCTTATCGCACTAACAGCTTTACCCCACAGGGAAAGGGCCCCAAGAATAGGAAGCTGAGTGGACATCCGAGCCCGTCTGGACTCTGTGAAGAAAAGAATTGGGTAATGGTAAAAGTGTCAGTAGTAGTATAACATGTCGAAAAGTTCGAACTTTACAATAATTGCTGTACCTCACCGGATGTGACATCTGTTGACATTTTATGCAAACTGCATAGTCAAGAAACGTTTGGAGAGAATTTCTTCCTTACGTTTGTAGTTCTTGGGTGGTTTCATGCGAGTATATTTGTTTACTCGTGAATTTTTGCAATGCTTTTACTTTGCACTGCAGAAGTCCGGTATAAAGCGGCATAACTATTGTCAGTTAAACACGATAAAAGGATGAATTACAGGCCAGTGGAAGAATAGCTCCCATCTTCCTTAACATTCGACAGCAAGTGGAAGTGGGTTATTACCCCTACCGCTTTACTCTCAGTGAAAGAAAAGTCTATATGCACATTGAACAACAGGTTCAGTGGTACTCAAACCCGGTCTGGACACAAAATCAAAGATAAGGTCTCCCGCTCCCCCGGGAATACAATCCCAGTAGTCCAGCCTGTAATCACTATACTTACTGAGCTCCCTGGTTGAACGAGCCATGCAGAAATCTGTGTCTTTAGACAATCTCGGCAAAGGTGCACGAACTCGTAACTGGAACACTTGGTCTCTCCATGGATACGTTCCATCTAAATATTACTGAAGGCATTTCGATATCATCTGATTTCTTAAAGTTGTCGAATTTAACTGTGACTTATGACTTTCCACTAAACCAGTAATTTAGATAGGCCTATACATCAAGCAACCATGACGTCAAGACCAACTCCAGGGTCCACCCAGTCTCCTATACAATGGGTAGTGTGCTGGTTCCCTGTGGGTAAATCGGCCGGGGTGTGAAAACTATCTACTCACCTCCGTCCAGTGCCGATGACCGCTTCACGATGCGTCTTCTTGGCTTGAAGATTAATTAATTAAGCCGAGGATTAACTTTTTTTCCCTTGGCAATACAGCCCCAGTGGGCCTAGGCCTACCTACATGAACTTCTCCGCGAGGATTAACTATGACTCTATATTTCAAGCAAATTTTTAATTATTTTTGTAACATAAAGCACAGTCATTAAGACTTATAAGATTGATTGGGAACGTCTTCGATGTGATATTTTTTACTTGCAATTGTTTACTGAGTTGTCAAATGACCTGTTCCGGCAAATATTGTGACGTTTGCTTTAAAAACATATTTTCTGTCTTCTGAGAAGTAATGGCGTATAGTGTAACTGAAATGTTAGGCCTTTCCATAGAAACGTGTTCTGTTCATCTGCAGAATTAAACAGTAAGCTTCAACGGTGAAGGCAGACGCAGCAGATACTTCCCGAGATGGCAGTGAACTACACAGTAGCACATCCCAGTAGACAGTAATTTCCAGAGTAATGCCACGAAAACGTCAAATCTCATTTCACTTCCTTCTTGAATTATTAGTGAGTTTCTAGTTTATAAACGGCTCTCTTATTCCGGTTACTTGAAATCACAATTCATCACTTCACTTTCGTATGTATGACAGTTGGTGTTTTTGCATGCATTTCGCATGAACTTCACTATACCCCAATTGACTCCCGAGAAAGTGAATTTAAACCGTCATTTAATGCAGTGAGAATAACTTTCATTTCCTTTAGTTTAACGACACTTTCTCAACTGCATGTAATTAGAGCGTCGTATGGCAAGGGAACTCTACATGAATCAAACACAATCTGGAAGGAAACATGACTGACTGTGACAACTGACAAAGGACAGTCCTCTCTTCTCTTCAGAGAGGACGCCTAACAAAGGAAAACCCGTTAACTGTCCACGCCAGGTCTTAAATCTGGTCATGATCCTCTGATGGAGCTCGACACAAAGAATGACTGACTGACTGACTGACTGACTGACTGACTGACTGAATTTGATTTTGACTCGAGCCATAGGTGTGTTAGCTACGGCTAGCCGATTACTCTGCTTGTCTTACGCTTTCACGCTTGTATCTTGCTTGGTTTATTCAACCCTGAAGGAGGAGGCGATATGTACCCCCAAACGTCTGTTAAGTTTCAAAAAACCACACGACGCTATATTCCAGAAAGTAGTACTCTTCATAACCACCGCTGTGAGAACCTACAAAATGTAGGGTAATCACGGAATCACGATAAGAGTTGAAATTATGCGTGTTATGTGACTGCACTCCTGCTCTGTATTCGGAAAGTCCTTACATGATTTCTTGATGCATGGACAAATTTCCGATTCAGTGCAGGTACATGTTTTGCGATATTGTCTTAAATAAGCAAAACCAGTTACTTTCCAGATTGTCTTCCATTCATATACAATTCCCCTACCATACGACGCTCTAAATTACATGCAATTGAGAAAGTGTCGTTAAACTAAAGGAAACGAAAGTTATTCTCCCTGCATTAAATGACAGTTAAGGTTCACGTTCCAGGAGGTTAACTGGAGTATAGTGAAGTTCACGCGAAATGCAAGTAAAAATGTCAACTGTAGTACGTATGGAAGTGAAGTGGTGAATCGTGATTTTACATAACCGCAGGAGCACATGGACAGATAAACCAGAAGATAATCATGTGAAAGTTCATTCCAGCTCTGATGTAGACCGGAAGTGGTAAGAACAGAACCAGGCACTGGAATATATCACATGTTTCGATGTACCTGAACCATTCTGAGAAGTGAACAGATGCTCAGCTACCGTTTTCGCGAATATCATTCGCTGGACTTCACACTTCATGACTTCACACCCTGTTCATCTAAGATCTATTTAGTATCATTCTCCCATCAGCGTCTAGGTCTTCCTAGTTGTCTCCACTTAGGTTTTCCTACAAGAACTCTGCATGTAATCCTCATTCATGCCTTCTGCATGCCCTGATCGTTTCATCCTCTTTGACTCGGTCATTCTGATAATATTTAGCGAGCAGAAAGAATTTATCACGCTCCTCATTATGCTGTTTCTTCCAGCCTCCAATTACTTCACCCTGCTCGCTCGTTCGGAACCAACTACATACTCGTTACTTAGGTCTGCGCAACACGTTAACGCTCGACAATTCGTAGCTATCGTAAACAGAAATTGAGTGACTTCGGAGAGTTCTTCTAGTTATGTTACATTTTTATACATATAGAAGGAGAGTAGACAAATATACGACTGTCCGGCTGTCTATCTCTCCCACCCTGTTTCTCCCAAACGGAACACTGGAGGAAAAATAGAAATGAAAAATATTTTCCAGTTAGAGAAATTATGAAATTATTATTCTTTTGTTACATGCACGAGTTCAAGTCCAAGCTGTTTTACTGGCTATATTTTTAAATACAGGTATACCGCCTCTGTCATCTAGTAGTCAGTGTTCCTAGCTACAAATCTAGAGGCCCGGGTTCGATTCCCGGGGCTACCAGATGTTCTGAGNCTCAGTCTAGGGATCAGTGGATGTTACTTTTGAACAAGGTAAAGAACCTTCTGCTACCATAAAATGCTGGGAAGTTCTTGAGTAGATGTACAATTGGCGGCTTCTCAAGA